ATTTTAACCCAAAAATGAGCCAGAAATGGCAAATTTTAACCCAAAAATGAGCCAAAATTGGCAAATTCTAACCCCAAAAACCAGCAATAAAATGTTGGATTTTAACCCAAAAATGAGCCAAAAATGGCAAATTTTAACCCAAAAATGAGCCAGAAATGGCAAATTTTAACCCAAAAATGAGCCAAAATTGGCAAATTCTAACCCCAAAAAACAGCAATAAAATGTTGGATTTTAACCCAAAAATGAGCCAGAAATGGCAAATTTTAACCCCAAAAATGATAAAGAAAATGTGGGATTTTAACCCAAAAATGGCGGATTTTAACTCAAAAAGCAGCAATAAAATGTTGAATTTTAACCCAAAAATGAGAAATAAAAGGTGTAATTTTAACCCTAAAAATGAAGAATAAAATGTCGAATTTTACCCCAAAAATGAGCAATAAAATGTCGAATTTTACCCCCAAAATGAACAAGAAAATGTTGAATTTTACCCCAAAAATGAGCAAAAAATGCCCAATCTTACCCCAAAAAAGAGCAATCAAAGGCAGAAGTGTCTCAGCTCAATTAAACCTCATTAAGGTGTTTAATTAGGGGAGGGTGCTTGCATCAGCGGGGGGAGGGGCGGCGTTTTTGGGGCGTTTTGGGTGAATTTGGGGGTGGGGGAGGGGCGCCGTGGGCACAGCCTGTGGAGAGAGGGGGGAGGGTCAGGAGAGACCCCAAAATCCCCCAAAATTGTCCCAAAATCCTCCCAAAACCCCCCAAAATCTCCCCAAAATTCCCCAAAATCCTCAAAAATCCTCCCAAAACCCCACAAAATTGTCCCAGAATCGCCCAAAATCCCCCCAAAATCCTCCTGGGAACCCCCCCCAAGGCCATATTGATTGCCCCATTTTCCTGTTGTAATTAATAGAGTGATTAATTAATGAGGAGGGAGGGACACAACCTTCCTAAATGCCCTAAATTCACTCAAAACCCCCACAACAAAATTCCAAAATCCCCCCAAAATCCAACCCAAATCCCAAAAAAAATCCAAAATCCTTTCAAAATCCCCCCAAAAATCCACCCCAACCCCCCCAAAAATCCAAAATCCACTCAACCTCCCCAAAACCCACCCAAAAAAACCCCAAAGTCCCCCTAACCCCCCCAAAATCCACTCAAATCCCCCCAAAATGCCCCAAAGCCCACTGAAAAAAACCCAAAATCCACTCAAATCCCCCCAAATCCACTCAACCCTCCCCACAACCC